TTTCTCTTCTGCAAGCTGTCTGCTTGGGAGGGGAGACAAGGGCAACTGTCCCTGGAAGAACTGTGGCCCCAATGACTTTGAGGGCTTTTTTTTTAGGTGGATGTCCTTTGTGCCCCATCCCCCAGGAGGGGGTTCAGTGGGTTAAGGCAGGATGCCTTTGGGTTGGGGCGGTGAGAAATAAGATCTGATCTCTTATGGTGATGTTTCCTAGGCTACCTGCAAAGGCTGGCTTCAGGGGACACAACCTGATCGCTAGGCAAGTGCGGGAGGAGGAAAGGCCAAGTGTGGCTTGCAGCTCTTCCTCCTGATATCCCTGTGAGTGGGTGTAGGTACCAAGTGAAGCTGAGTCAGACCCACTGGGGTGATGTGGGGTCTCTCATGAGCTCAGTGTAGCCCACAGAGCGTGTAACCAAGCACTGCCTGTGCAGACCTGTCAAAGCTTCTGGAGTGGATGAAATCCATCTGTGTTAACAGCAGGATGTCAGCGCTTCCAGGACAAGAGGTTAGGAGTGGGTTAGTTGTAGCCGGCAGGATTTTGCTTGGTGGTAGATGCTGAAACTCAGATGCCCAGACAGTAGATCCCTCGAAAGGCCAGTAATCCTGCTACTCAAATGCACTCATACTGGCCTTACTGGTTTTCTAGCTGCAGTGAGAGCTAAGTAATCCTGGGAGCAAATGTGTGAGCAGTGGCTGTAGCAGTGGTGGCAGAGATGAGGGTGAAATAAATGGAGCAGAGCAGTTGGACCCTGTAACACCTTTGGGGGCTCCTGATGATCCCCTGAACCCTTACTGGTTCATCCCAAATGGGGTTCTCGTCCTCCATCTATGATAACCAGGAGATGAGCTGCAGTACAGCATTGCCTGGTAGCAATCTGTGTGGCATTTGCTGCTCCAGGTGTCAGGAACGCTGCATGCATGGGGTCAGTGCAGGGCTGCTCGCTGCCCGGCATTACAAACCCACCCTGCTTGATGGCTGAGGAGGAGGGAGGGCATCAGTGCCGGAGTGTTTGTCGGTGGTGAGGCTTGGGCCGTGGGATCAGCTGCTTTGCTTTGACTCTTGTACTGTTTAGTGACTAATCAGATTTTTGAGCCTGTTTAACAAATTCAGCTGTCTCCCTTGAACAATACACTGGCTGTATTTTTAAACACATCACGTGGCTTCAGAGAAGTCGGCAAACCAGCGTAGTGCGGCTTGCCTGGGCTGGGAGATGCTCTGCCCTGCTCTGTGCTGTGACTAGGAGGGAGCAGTCTCCTCCCCGGCTCAAGCCGTCTGCGGCAGCTTTCCCTCGCTACCCACTGCCGCTAGCGGGGCTGCTGCTGCTCCTCGAGCTCTGCCCAGGGTAAGTACTGCTGGGCCAGCGAGGTTTTTCTGTGGCTGTGGGGTTGGGTGTAGGCACAGGTGCTGCTGTCAGGGAGAGCCAAGCAGATATTCAGAGGGCAGGCGGTCCCTTTCCAAGTGCGGTCAGAGGTGAGTTCATAGGTTCTGTGCCACAGCCAAAATGGATCTGCACCTCTGTTGGGGAAACTCACAGGGATAAGGCTCTGCAGATGTGGGGAGATACTGTGACTGTTGCTGACAGCTCCTGCAGACCAGCTCTGCCTCGGGTTGAGGTGGATGCTTCAAGTGAAGGACCCACCTGTACCTGTCTGGGGTTTCTGTTGGTGTTTTGAGTTTTCGCACTCTAGTGTGGGGCTAGAGATGCCAGCTCCCTGGCAGGTATGCTGCTGGGTAACACTGCTCGGGACAGGTATATCCCAGCATCTTGCTTTGGCCACACTTGGCAGCCTCCTCTGGTGCTGGCACCGAGATGGTGCTGGTGTCTGACCATGGTGCACTTTGTAGTAGCATTTTTCTGCGCACCTGGTTTGGGCAGTGTTTTGGACTGTTAATCCTCTCCTGTACAAGAGCTACCTGAAAATCTGGGTTAAAAACCTTGTGGTCTTAGCTGGTTGAGATCAGGTGGGGCTGGAGGGATATCAAGTGGATCCCAAACTTGCTTTCCTGAAAACTGAAAGCTTCAGGGCAAGCTGCCTTGTTTTGCAGCCTCTGAATAATTAAAACCATTTCTGAATGCTTTGCTCTTTTCATTTGGTTTGGGGACACATTCAGCTTGCTGAGACTTGCTCCTTTTGAATAGAGCTGGCTGGTGTCGTGCCCCCATGGGATCCCGGGTGGCCGAGCCTGCCCTGTGTTGCCTCTCCTTCTGGGTGGCAGCTGGCCCCGTACCACTGACCCATGGAGCAGGACAGGGCTTTCACGACCCCTCGGTGGCCTGGTGCTCTGCTCGGGGGCAGTGGCTCTGTTTGTAGGGAGGAATTTGCTTGCCTAGATTCTCCTCAGTGGGAGGAAAACCTGCTGCTGTGCGAGGGAAGCAGTCTGGTGCATACTCGTCTGTCGGCTCTCAGGCAAAGGCCTGACCAGACAGGCTTGTTGTGAACGCGTACCGGGGACGGTGCTCGCCGCTGACTGTGAAGCGTCTCCTTTGTCAGCAGGCCAGGCTGGCACATAGCTGGGTGCCCGGAGCCAGCTCCTGTCAGGGCTGACGTGTGTGGTGTCCCACCTCTGAGCCTGCAGATGCCTGCTAATGGGCCAGACCTCTCTCTTCTCAGCCTGGCCATTGGTGTGTGCAGCAAATGCTTTAGGTCCTGCCTTTCTCCAGCTCAAGCAGCAAGAAAAGCCAGCGTAAGGGCACGGACCTGTCTGGAGCATCTCACGCCCATAACTGGGACATGGGGTCTCCAGTTCTGCTCCCAGGTGAAGTGGGATCTCCTGGCTGATCTCAGCCTTGGGAAGAGTAACCCACCCTTGTGTTTGTCAGCCACACCAGGCTGCTGCTGCTGGCTCCAGCTGTGCAGCACTGCGCTGCAACCGATGGCAAAGAGCGCACAGCCTTTCCAGAGTGGTGCAGAGGGTTGGTGTCTGCCAGACGTGCCACCTCCCGGCAAAGAGCACACAGCCTTTCCAGAGTGGTGCAGAGGGTTGGTGTCTGCCAGATGTGCCACCTCCCAGATGAGCTGTTCGTGGGCTGATGGGAGCCCAGTACCTTCCTGGGCCTCTGCCACGAGAGCCAGGAGGGAAGGAGGTGTGTCATGCTGCAGCACTGACAGGCTCTTTCTCTGTTGCAGTTCTCAGCATGCTGAGTACCCCTCTTGGGAACGTCCTGGGGAAGCCCCCGCTGGGTTTCCTGCCTCTAGACCCCATTGGTTCAGACCTGTCAGAAAAGTTTTCCACACCGACGCTGAGGAACTCCCGCCTGGATTCTCGTTCCCTCCTGGACTCCCGCTCCAGCAGCCCCTCGGACTCAGATACCAGTGGGTTCAGCTCTGGCTCTGACCACCTCTCAGCGCGTTGGGGGCCCGCAAGCCGCAGCCCTGCCTGCTCAGGAAGGGAAGGGAGCACTGGAGTGATCTGTGATGCCCACACTGACACAGTGAGGTTGTGTGGCCCAGGGTTTGCAAGAAGCGCGGCTCAGGCAGTCCTCCTTCAGCACAGACTAGCACTATCCTTATATTATTTTTCTTCTAAATGTTTTGGCCTTTTGGCTTTGTGCTTCCAGCCCTAATGTGTTAAAGTAGCTCCCAGAGGGGTGTGAGTGCTTGAGCTGGTGTGTCACAGGAGGGTGTCCATGCTCTGATCCCAAGAGGGAGGTGGTCGATCAGCATGGCTGTCTCAGGAGCTCCTGTCTCTGCCTTTCATTGCCCTTCCCATTTGCTGACTGCACTTTTCCATCTCAGGGCTGTTTCTTCTAGAGCAAACTGGGTCTAGCCTGCTCCCGTTCCCTAAAGCATAGCTAAATTTGGAAGCCAGCAAGCGAGGCGAGTGTCTGTCTTGCTGACCCAGTCTGTGCCGTTGGGTCTGTGTTGCAGCTTGAGCGGCAGCTCTGGGTGCCAGCAGGGCAGCCTGGCTCCGGCCAGCTCTGCAGGCACTGCTATGTGGCTCCTCTGCAGGACCTGAGGCTAAAGCCAAGGCCGAGCTGCTCCTTGCTCTGCCGTGGCCTTGACTCCCATGTTGGGGTGGGCGTGAAGGACACAGTTGGCTTGATGTGGAGTTATTTTTTTCCTATGATCCATCTTGGAGAATCAGGATCTCGAGCAGGGGCGCTGTAAGCGGCTGCAGCACCCCAGTCTCTGATGATGGCAGGCGGTGCGGGGTGGCAGGGCTTTGTGCTGGCCTTGTTTGTGAAGGTCAGGTCTTCCCCAGCACGGCCTTAGCGTGGGCGGCTGTGCCGCAGCAGCACGCGGCTGGATCCGCAGAGCGGCTGGCACTCGATAAGCTGCGCAGTGTCTCGCATCCCTGCTGTTCCATTAATCCGTGCTTTTACTCCTTCCGCCCTGGGAGAGGCACGTTAAACCTGTGAGTAGTGGGGTCCGCAGCCAGCTGCACCCACACCCCGTTCAGGCAGCCCTGGGAGCTGGTCTCCGGAGGGCAAGAGCCAGCTGGTTGCCTGCAGAGTTTGTGGGTGCTGCTGGCAAGCCCTGCCTGCTGCAGGCAGGACCCGAAGCAAAACATGGAGCTCTTCCTGGAGTGGTTGATGCTCCCTGGGGGTGGCGGCTGTCCTTGGGGCTCTGCCCCCCCCACCCCAGGTCCTGCCTTTCTCCAGCTCAAGCAGCAAGAAAAGCCAGCGTAAGGGCACGGACCTGTCTGGAGCATCTCACGCCCATAACTGGGACATGGGGTCTCCAGTTCTGCTCCCAGGTGAAGTGGGATCTCCTGGCTGATCTCAGCCTTGGGAAGAGTAACCCACCCTTGTGTTTGTCAGCCACACCAGGCTGCTGCTGCTGGCTCCAGCTGCGCAGCACTGCGCTGCAACCGATGGCAAAGAGCACACAGCCTTTCCAGAGTGGTGCAGAGGGTTGGTGTCTGCCAGATGTGCCACCTCCCAGATGAGCTGTTCGTGGGCTGATGGGAGCCCAGTACCTTCCTGGGCCTCTGCCACGAGAGCCAGGAGGGAAGGAGGTGTGTCATGCTGCAGCACTGACAGGCTCTTTCTCTGTTGCAGTTCTCAGCATGCTGAGTAACCCTCTTGGGAACGTCCTGGGGAAGCCCCCGCTGGGTTTCCTGCCTCTAGACCCCATTGGTTCAGACCTGTCAGAAAAGTTTTCCACACCGACGCTGAGGAACTCCCGCCTGGATTCTCGTTCCCTCCTGGACTCCCGCTCCAGCAGCCCCTCGGACTCAGATACCAGTGGGTTCAGCTCTGGCTCTGACCACCTCTCAGACTTGATTGTAAGTTTGGGTCCTGCACGCACTCTGTGGTTCCTGGTGTCTTGCTGCGTTTCAGGGGAGCACGGGAGAGCTGTGGGGGGCTGCAAGCCGCAGCCCTGCCTGCTCAGGAAGGGAAGGGAGCACTGGAGGGATCTGTGATGCCCACACTGACACAGTGAGGTTGTGTGGCCCAGGGTTTGCAAGAAGCGCGGCTCAGGCAGTCCTCCTTCAGCACAGACTAGCACTATCCTTATATTATTTTTCTTCTAAATGTTTTGGCCTTTTGGCTTTGTGCTTCCAGCCCTAATGTGTTAAAGTAGCTCCCAGAGGGGTGTGAGTGCTTGAGCTGGTGTGTCACAGGAGGGTGTCCATGCTCTGATCCCAAGAGGGAGGTGGTCGATCAGCATGGCTGTCTCAGGAGCTCCTGTCTCTGCCTTTCATTGCCCTTCCCATTTGCTGACTGCACTTTTCCATCTCAGGGCTGTTTCTTCTAGAGCAAACTGGGTCTAGCCTGCTCCCGTTCCCTAAAGCATAGCTAAATTTGGAAGCCAGCAAGCGAGGCGAGTGTCTGTCTTGCTGACCCAGTCTGTGCCGTTGGGTCTGTGTTGCAGCTTGAGCGGCAGCTCTGGGTGCCAGCAGGGCAGCCTGGCTCCGGCCAGCTCTGCAGGCACTGCTATGTGGCTCCTCTGCAGGACCTGAGGCTAAAGCCAAGGCCGAGCTGCTCCTTGCTCTGCCGTGGCCTTGACTCCCATGTTGGGGTGGGCGTGAAGGACACAGTTGGCTTGATGTGGAGTTATTTTTTTCCTATGATCCATCTTGGAGAATCAGGATCTCGAGCAGGGGCGCTGTAAGCGGCTGCAGCACCCCAGTCTCTGATGATGGCAGGCGGTGCGGGGTGGCAGGGCTTTGTGCTGGCCTTGTTTGTGAAGGTCAGGTCTTCCCCAGCACGGCCTTAGCGTGGGCGGCTGTGCCGCAGCAGCACGCGGCTGGATCCGCAGAGCGGCTGGCACTCGATAAGCTGCGCAGTGTCTCGCATCCCTGCTGTTCCATTAATCCGTGCTTTTACTCCTTCCGCCCTGGGAGAGGCACGTTAAACCTGTGAGTAGTGGGGTCCGCAGCCAGCTGCACCCACACCCCGTTCAGGCAGCCCTGGGAGCTGGTCTCCGGAGGGCAAGAGCCAGCTGGTTGCCTGCAGAGTTTGTGGGTGCTGCTGGCAAGCCCTGCCTGCTGCAGGCAGGACCCGAAGCAAAACATGGAGCTCTTCCTGGAGTGGTTGATGCTCCCTGGGGGTGGCGGCTGTCCTTGGGGCTCTGCTGATGAGGGGTAGCTGTTGGCTTCGTGGTCTGCAGTGTACCTTCTGCTTAGTGATACTCACTGCTGGTAACTTGGCTTGGGTTTGGTGGGAAATGGCTGTAGGGGCAGGCCTTTCCCAGGGAAACTGGGGTCCCATCAGGCTGCTGGGACAGGTGAGGTGGCTGCTTTCGTGCCTCTGCCAGACCTCAGAGGGTCTTGGGAGAAGAGGAGATCACCAGGAGCCCTCTCTCCTGCTGTGGGTGAGGGCAGGGCCACAGGGTGATGTGTGACCTCCAGTATTACATGCTCCTACTTGAAGGCGGGGTTTTGATGTGGACTTTCTCTTGCAGTCAAGCCTCCGCATCTCCCCACCTCTGCCCTTCCTGCCCCTCAGTGGGGTGTCAAGAGACCCCCTAAAGATGGGAGTGGGGTCCCGGCTGGATCAAGATCAAGCTGCCCTGGCTGCAGTCACTTCCTCCCCAGCCAGTGCATCGAAAAGATGGCCTGGAGCATCTGCGTGGCCTTCCTGGGATCTCCTGGACTCTCCAGAAGACCCCTTCAGTATCGAAAGAGAAGCCAGGCTTCACAGGCAAGCAGCAGGTAAGCTGGGTGGTGGGTCTCAGCAGGCTTCAGTGCATGGTGATGGTCCTCTGCTTCTGGGAGGGTGTGTAGGTGGGCTCTGTGCAGATAATGTGGCTGGACCTGAGTTTGCAGCAGATCTCGCCTTTCTCCATGCGCAAACCTGACACTGGGTCTACTTGCTGGCAGAAAACCAGGCAGGATGTATGGGCAGCTGCCTGTTGCCGCTGCAGCGCTGCTGAATGTATAGCTGTGGAATATGGGGATTCGCTTGGAGACCTGTGGGAGATTGGGAAGGGAATGGTCCTGTACTGAGTGTTGTTTGTGCTTGTCCCAGCTGTGAATGAAGCAACTTGCACCTGGAGCGGGCAGCTGCCTCCCCGAAACTACAAGAACCCCATCTACTCCTGCAAAGTGTTCCTGGGAGGAGTCCCATGGGACATTACGGAAGGTGAGCAGCCCCTAGCCCTGCACTGAGGCCTTGGATTTTTGACATCAGGAGGGTGTAGGATGGAGCTTTTTGGGGGGATGCTGACCTGTCTCCTTCTGTCTGTAGCTGGACTGATCAACACCTTCCGTGTTTTTGGCTCACTGAGTGTGGAGTGGCCTGGTAAGGATGGCAAACACCCACGCTGCCCTCCCAAAGGTAATATGCCTAAAGGTAATAGCGACATGGTAGGGTTACTTTTTTCCCATGCTATGTTACAGCACGGATGCTGGGATGGTACGGCTGCATGCTGGTGACTGGATGGTACAGAGCACCCTAGGGTAAATTTCCTGCTCTCACATGGGTCAGCACCGGGGTTGCACAGCACTGTCACCTCAAACCTGGTGTCCCCACCCATCCCTAGGAGGGCTGGGCAGGAGCATGGGGTGGGGGGAAACTGCTCTCTGGTGCTTCCGGAGCCCCACGTGGGGCTGTCTTGCTGTGGGCAATAGCCGCTAGTCCCCACTGCCAGTGCCAGCACCCAAAGTATGCGTGTCCTTGGCATAACGCGCACCCAGTGAATCCCAGTGTGTGTCCTCAGCAAGCTGGCAGGCCGTGGGGACTGGTGAGCTGAGCAGCCTGTGGGGCATAATCCTGTCTGAAGTAGCCGGGCTGATGTGTAAGCAATAATGAGTTATGGGGTAAGGAGTGACTAGTTTGTAGGCTCGGTGGTGCCTAATGCGAGGTACAGAGTGCTGGCACTGATGGAAGTGACTTTAAAACCCTGAACTTAGATTTCTGGGCGAAGACATCCTAAATGTGAAGCAAAGTCTGTTTTCCTGCAGACCATGCTGTGACTAGGTGGGTGGGGCTCACTTGTCATGTCTAGATGTGGGTCTGTGTATGGGGGACGGTGGCCCACATGGCACTGGATGTGGGTGAACCTGTCCCTGACGGCTGGGCAGCCTTGTGCTGTGCAAGTTTGGGCTCTTTCCCAGCTTGGCTGGGCTCTGTGCGTCACAGGTGGATCTCATATGTACAGTCTGCTGGGACAGGCACTGCAAATCTCTGCCCTCCCCTAGAAGGCCTTGGGGACAGCAAGGGAGATGCAGTGCAGATACTTTGGGTGGCATCTGAGAGTGATTTTGGGAGGCGTCTGCAAACTGGGATGAACTGTTTCTCCTCTGTTACAGTCCTAACAACTGTTTCTTTCCTTTCACCTCTAAAGGATATGTCTACCTGGTGTTTGAGTCAGAGAAATCTGTGCGTTCTCTGCTCCAGGCGTGCTCCCAGGACCTGCTGAGCCCTGATGGGCTCAGTGAATACTACTTCAAGATGTCCAGCCGCAGGATGCGCTGCAAAGAGGTGAGCAGACCCATGAGAGCAGCCCTACAGGTGACAGCAGGGAATACTGATGAGATCCTTGGAGGCAAGGGGGTATGCGGTGATAACTCTGCTCCAGGAAAGCAGGGCTGAAGCAGAGCAGCAGAAGTCAAACTGGCTCCTGGCCATCTTTAACGGATGTGTTCCTGCAGTAGGGCTGGACACAAGCAAGGAGGGAAGTGTCAGATTGGTGTTTGTGTCCTTCGCAACAGCTTCTGTCAGGAATTGTGACCTGGAGCTCCTGGATCTGTGGGAGACCCTGACTTCCTGAAGCTGAGCCGCTTCAGTTACCTGCAATGGAGTGCAGGAATGGAGATTTTACCGCTTCGTGCTTTGTTCAACATCGTGCCTTTGGTTGCGGAGACAGACTTTGATCACTTTGGTGCTTTGTTAGATCTTGTCTGCTTGCAGAACGAATGGCTTTCATGCTCACACCAGGCAGATACTTTGGATCCACAGCTGTAACTGCAGCTGCTCCCCAGCACAGCCTTGGCTGGCTGACCTGAGCTCTGGAGGTGGAGGTGCTGAGCCTCTTGGAGGCTCGGGTTGGCCTTCCAGTAAAGGAGGACCTTGGCTATAGATCAGGTACAACTGTGTGACTTTGGAGTTAAAGAATTGAGATTCAGCTCTTATCTAGACAGGTGCAAACTAATTGCACTCCAGACAGCTCTCCTGGTGTCTGGCTTTTGGCAGCACTTTCACGCATGGTGATTTAGCTCTGGCAGAAGTTTCTCCTCTTCGGAGCCCTATATCAGCTGTCTAGCAGATGGAAGCTCCTGTCGAAATTGGCAGTGGGTGGGTTGTTTCATCGATCTCCTCCAATAACGGGCATCTGTGCAGGGAGGCATCTGACTGGGCTGTAAACATAGGTGCCGGCAGTAGGTAAAATCCACTCGTGCACGGATTGCTTCCTGGCTGCCAGCCCCAAGGGACCAGTGTTTTGGATTCCAGTTCAGCTGGAAGCAGAGCAGCGTGGCAGTTGGTTTTGTTCCCTTGAACAGGCCTTTGGACTCTCCTGAGGCATCTGGAGCAAGGCTGGAGCTCTAGAGCTGTAGAGCCTCAGACGTGGACCCTGAGTAGCAACAACAAAGCCACGTTTGCAGGTTGGGGGTAAAAGCCTGAGGGTCTGGGATGGCTTCTCTCAGCTGAGGACACTGTGGAGACAGCACAGCCTGTGGCTTTGCAGGCCCTTGGCTGACCCGACCTGCTTGTGTATGGTTTCAGGTGCAGGTGATCCCGTGGGTGCTGGCAGACAGCAACTTTGTGCGCAGTCCGTCGCAGCGGCTTGATCCCAGCAAGACAGTGTTCGTGGGTGCTCTGCATGGGATGCTGAACGCGGAAGCCCTGGCAGCCATCATGTATGACCTGTTTGGAGGGGTGGTCTATGCTGGCATCGACACGGACAAGCACAAGTATCCCATTGGTAAGTGTCACCTGCAGCATGCTCCGAGGAGGCCGTGGCAGTGCTCCTGGCTTGGTCCCTCTGTGGGGAAGACTGCCCGGGGCACCTTGGGGAGGGCTGGCAGAGCTGACATGCCTGGGAACTGGAAGGTCCTAGATCATTCCAGAGCACGTCAAGGTTCTTAATATCTCTGTAGGCATTGCTGAAGGGTTTTGTGCCTATGTTTGGGGCTTTTAATGGTCATTAGATACTGCTTTAGCTACTTGTCCATCCCCGGAACTGAGATGTCTGCAGGTCTTGCCCTGGCTCCTGCTGCCTGTCAGGGCAAACTGGGACCCGCTGGCTGCTGGCCCTTCCTGCTGGAGAGGTGCCAGCTGTTGGGCAGCAGGAACAGGGCAGGACTGTGGGCAGCTCGGCTGAACCAGCACTGGTGGGCCGGGTCCTGTCCCCACTCTCCTGGTTTGGTTCTCCTTCAGGGTGCTGTTGCTTTGGGTTTCTAAGGCAGCTGGTAGCACAAGTGGAGAGGCTTCTCAGTCTCCTGACTGGATGTACTGGAGGATGGCATGTCTACCTCTGCTCAGGGCATCAACCTGCCTAGGGTCAGAGGGGCTGGGGATGAGTGTGACTCTTGGACAGTGCTCCTCTCCTTTGATGGGGCTGAAACCACAAACTACTGCAGGCAGGAAGGAAGCTCAGCTGCCTCCTCTGCTCATGAGGAGGGCTGCTGCCCCAAACCATGACCTATGGATCAGGTAGACCCACTGTGCTCTTGCAGGTGGAAAGTATGAAGCCTCTGAGATACCACCTCCCAGATGAGGCTGTGTTTGAGAGGGGCAGGTCATGCCCTGCTGAGACAGCCTCCAAAATGGGAGTTGAACACTTGCCACTCATGTCACAGGAGCTGAAACATGTCACAGCAGTGTCCCCTGTACCTCCCTGGTGGCCTCATGGGACAGGATACAGCACAGAGGTTACTAGTCTGTGTGGAAGAACTCTACAGCTGATCATAAGGTCCAGCTTTCTAGGCTTGGGCTGCAGCAAGTCATGTACTTAAGAATGGACCATGAATTTCCTGTGTTGCCAGGCAGGAACAATGTCAGAGTTTGGTAGTGCAGAGCTGTCTGCTGCTGGTCCCCATCCTTGGACAGCTTTCAGGCTTTCCTGGTCAAGGCTTTGGTGCAAGGCCTGCGTTTAAGACATGCTTGCGTTGCTGAAGTGGCTTTGGGGGGACAGTCCTAAAGGGATGGAAGTATGAGACTTTAAGCAAATCCTTAGTATGACCACAGATGAAGTCTTGCACACCAAACTGCCCTGTGCTGGCATTGTCCTAGAGCGTGACCTTAAAACCTCCTGTGACTTCATGCAGAGCCCAGGTTGCTCTGGCTCCCAACAGCAGACTGGCACTTCCACCCTTGGAAGTTGTCTTGGAAGAGTTACAGCAATGTGAACTCAATTTTAATAACTAAACTCTACCCTAATTTTGTTTCACGTTGATTGAAGTATCTCCTGTTCCTGCTTGGCTGCTGCCCCTGGCTTGACAGAAGGCTCCTCAGGGGAAGACCACTGTGTATAAACTGCCTCGTGCCGAATCATCTTAGTTAGGCCTTCGAGACCAGCCAGTCTGGGTCGGCAGAGAAAGCCGTTGCCCAGACAGCTTTTGGGGAGTCCCACTAAGAGGTGGAACTGACCCTTTTAGAAGAGGAAGGATCCCCCTGAGTGCAGCCGCAATCCCTGTAGACAGCGTAACCCCGACCTCCAGCCTGTCTCCTGCATGATGCTACAGGTGGGGAGTTGGAAATGGGTTCTGGGTAGCGCTTTGCGCTGTGGCTGTCAGTGGTGAGCTGAGCTCCAGCGATCTGCCGGCATGCAGGACAGTCTTGCGACAGTCAAATCTCCCCTGTACACCGAGGTGGGTGGGGGGGAACTCATAGATAAGCACAGATGTGTTTTCCTGGAGCTTAACAAAACTTGGCTGGAAGCGAGTGGTGCAGGAACGCTGCTGACTGGTGATGAAGCTGCAAAATGCAAGTCTCTGGGATGAGTGGGAGGCTCAAAAATAAAAGCTGCTGAGCTGTCTCGGCACCAGCTTATTTCAGGTGCAGGCGCGGAGCCTGCTGCTGCGCTGCCCTCAGCAGTGCCCTGGCAGCCTCCCTCCCTCCGCCCGGCCCCTGCCGGTTCCCCTGGGAGCGCTGCCGCCTGTAAGCTCATGTCTTAACCAGCCTGGAGGTGTCCATGGAAAAGCCTTTCTGCTCTCAGCTGCCTGCCGCGCTTTTGTTACCGCCTGGGGAAGGAGGCAGGCAGAGCCGCGAGGCCTTGGATACGATCTCCCTGCAAAAGCTGCTTCCCTGCCAGCGCTGGGGACTCGCTCTCAGCCTCCCCCGGTTCCTGCTGGAGGTGCCAGCTCAGTCTAACTCTTGTGGTCTGGCTTCTTCCAGGGTCTGGCCGTGTCACCTTTAACAACCAGCGCAGCTATCTGAAGGCAGTCACCGCTGCGTTTGTGGAAATCAAAACTACCAAGTTTACTAAAAAGGTGAGTGGAACTGATGGGGCGGCCTGGGGAGTTGAATCCGTGTGTGATGGGTGGTAGCGCTGAGAGCATGTGTTCCATGTATCCTGCCCCATATCCCTATGGAAGCAGAGGGCAGTGGTGAACTGATGCTCTGCCAGGATGAGGGGTGCTGCTGATGGATTTTGGGGTGGGTCAGTGCCGGTGGGGCTGCCCAGGCAGTGGCAGTTGCCCCCAGCACTGCACCGTGCCCACAGCCTGCTTCTCCTGCAGGTTCAGATCGACCCGTACCTGGAGGACTCCATGTGCCAAGTCTGCAGCACCCAGCCCGGCCCTTTCTTCTGCAGAGACCAGGTAAGGCTTTCTCCTGCCGGCCATGCTCAGCTCCCGGCTGCTGCACTCGGGAATTCCTCAAGGAGGAGCAGGCTCCTCGGCGCTCGCTGTAGTGTCTGGGCTTGCCCGTTGTCCGTTGCCAAGTGGGGAGGATGCAGTGTTCCTGCGAGAGCCTCGGGTGGACCCTTGCTTTGGAGGAGGTACAGCCCTCCTGAGAGGAGCTCCACTGCTGCCTGGGAGGCAAAGGCAGCTTTGCCTTGAGCCGGGAATGCCGCGGCTCCACTGGTGCTGTGCCAGAGCGCCAAGGCCTGCCGTGGGCAGCAGGGAGGCTGCGGCTCTGTGAGCTGTGACAAGCTGGAAGCGCCGTCACCCTGCAGTCAGTCCTGGGGCTGCCCGAAATGCAGGGGACTGGCTGACCTCTGCTCACTGCGGGCAAAGGAAGCTCGGCCGGGGTCTGGCAGCTTCCTGCAGCGTCTGGATGGGAGATGTGCTCCGCTCCACTGAGAGCGACGGCACTGGGAGTGCTGGTGGCTCCTGGCTGCTGGCCCTGGCCCTGCCCCAGGTGTTGAGCAGAGGTGCCACAGCCCCCAGGAGGCCGCTTCCAGCCAGTGCCCACATCTGGATTGTTGGTTTTGCCAAACCTTTTTGAAAGTGTCCACGCTGGAAGCTCAGCACAGTGTGTCCTCCGGCAGCATTGCCGGAATTCCCTTCCTCCCGCTCCAAAGATCCGCTGTGCTGGCCCAGGCCGCAAAACCCAGGGAGGGAGGGAGTGGATGCTGCTTGGCTGCCGGGCCAGTGTCCGTTTTTCGCCTTGCCTGGAAAAAAAACCCTGCCCCACGGCGTTGCCCCTCTGCTCTCCCCGCAGATCTGCTTCAAGTACTTCTGTCGCTCCTGCTGGCACTGGCAGCACTCCATGGAGGTCCTGCGTCACCACCGCCCGCTGATGCGCAACCAGAAGAACAGAGACTCCAGCTAAAGCGGCCACCGAGGCTCCGGGGGGGGCTGCCGCGGGCGCAGGAGGAAAAAAGTCCTTTTTTTTGTCAACCTGCCAAGTTGGGAGAGCGCATGAGTGTGCCTGCTGGTGCCAGACCCAGGCTGGGAATGCGCTTCCTGAGGACTAATGGGGAGAAAAAAAGAAAAAAAAAAACAACAAAAAAACAACAACAAAACAACAAAAAAATCTTACATTCACGTTTGCACTTGCTGGTCTTTTTGTTTCTGCACTAATGCACAGTGAATTTTGTCGGGTTTTGTTTTTTTGGGGGGGAACGGGTAGGGAATTTTTTTTTTTGAGGGGGAGGGGGAGCGCCCCTCAAGCGATTCTGCAGTTCCCAGACTTTGGTTCCTAGTTTGCTGATGAGAAGCAAAAAAAAAAAAAAAAGAAAAAAAAATAAATAAGGGCCACGTGTTGAGAAGGTGTTTATGCAGATGCCTTCACCTCGGTTTTTTATTTATTAAAGGCGCTTTTTTACATTCCTTGCAATACTGATGGTAATAATGCAGGTCTCATTGGCTCCATTTTTTTGCAGTTGCCATACAGTGCCTTTCCATTCATTTAACCCCCACCTGAACGGCATAAACTGGATGTTCAGCTGGCGTTTTTTACTGTAACAACAAGGAGACTTTTTGCTCTTCATTTAAACCAAATCATATTTCATATTTTACGCTCAAGGGTTTTTACCAGTTCCTTTTTACACTCTTAAACAGTTTTTAAGTCGTTTGAAACGAGAGATTTTTTTCTTTCCTGGCAGCTTTTAACATTATTGCAATTTTGTGTCTGGGGGCTGCTGGCGGAAAGTTGTAAATCGAGGGGTTTGCAACAGAACAGGACAGGCTTTTTCTTTTTGTGTTTTTTTTTCTTTTTTGGATTTGAAACTGGACCGGATAAATGATCTCTGAGCTGCTGTATATAGTTTTAAAATAGTTTGTTGCACTTTTTTAAGTTGCACTTAAGGGGGGTTGATAGAGGTTTTTAATCACACAAAGTCACAGGACTTAACTTTTTTTTTCTTTTGTAACTAGCTAAAAAAGGGCTGCGTTTCGGTGGACGGATGAAGGTTCCTGGGAGCCCTTTCTCTTAGAGGGGACAAGTACTTTTTTCCTTTCCTTTGCGAAATGTACGGAGCAATGGTGCAGTCGACTGAAATGCTGCTGCTGGGATTTGAGAACTTTAATTATTATTATTATTACTTTGTTGGTTGTTTGTTTGGTTTTTTTTTTACTTTCCCCTCTATCAGAAGCTGTGTGCCAAAGAACCAGTGTCATAATTTCTCCCTCTTATATATATTTTTTTCCCTCTTTCTTGGTTGTTTGTTTTTGTTTTTTTTGGTTTTTTTTTTTTCTCCTGCTGAGCTGATGTTGCATTGTTGCATATCCCAGCTGCTCTTTGTGGGGTTTCGTGAAGCTGTGTGTGAAGTCTCTACCTCATTGTAGTATATGCAGGCAAGACTGCACTCTCCTACAGACGCGTGGAGTAAGCTGTGGTGTAGTTTTTGGCACATAATAAACACGTTGCAGCAAAAAAAAAAAACCAAAACCACTTTTGTGCTCCTTCTTGCGCCTCCTGTGGGATCTCTGCTGGGAGAAGTGGACCTCGGGAAAGGTGTGGATCCTGTGTGTGACTCGGTTTGAGGGGAGCTCTCTGCTGGGAGATGGGTTTTTTTAGGTACTGGTTCCTGAAGTGCCTTGGGGTGATGCAGCCAGGCTCCAGCTGGAGCTCCCCTACTCACAGCAGGCAGTTAATGAGGTTAATTAGGGTGTCCCACCCTCCTGGTGGTTGGTTGGGGAGATGGGCTCCAGGGGTGTCAGAGGTACACCTTGGGGTGCCCTGGAGGGGGGCTTTGGGCTCCTTCCTCGTGCCCCCCATCTCCTGCAGTGCCCTGGGGTGGCCACCCCTCACCTCCTTGTGCTGGTGGTGAAGGCAAAGCAGGTGAGATGGTACTGAGGGAGAAAAAGACCTTGGGGAGATCACAGGAAACAAAGGTGTATATAAAAAAAAAAAAAAAAAATTAAGAGGAACAGAACTTGGGGGGGGGGGGAAACTGGGGTGCTCCCTTAAAATAAAGACAAACAAAAAAATCCTTTTATAAATACATCAGTGAAAACAAGACTAGGGAAGATGTGGGCCCTTTCCAGAAGGAAACAGAGGAGGCAAAGCTGAGGTACTCAATGACTTTTTTTTGCCTCTGTCTTCACTGGCAAAGACTGAGGCTGTGATACAGAAGGCAAAGGTGAGGACTGGGGAAATGAAGAACTGCCCACTGTAGGCAAAGATCAACTACGGGACCACCCAAGGAACCTGAAGGTGCACAAGTCTGAGACCTGATGAGATCCATCCGCGGGTACTGAGGGAAGAGGCAGATGAAGTCGCTAAGCCACTAGCCGTCATATTTGAGAAGCTGTGGCAGCTTGGCGAGGGTCCTGCTGACTGGAAAAGGGAAAATGTAACCCCTATTTTCAAAAAGGGACATAAGACCCGGGGAACTACAGGCCAGTCAGACTCACTTCTGTGCCTGGCAACATAGTGGAGCAAATCCTCCTGGAAACTGCTGAGGCACATGGAAAAAGAGGAGGTGACTGGTGACAGCCAGCATGGCTTCAGCAAGGGTAAGTCACGCCTGACAAATTTGGTGGCCTTCTACGAGGGGCTTAGTGGACAAGGGAAGAGCTGGTCTTGTGCAAAGCATTTCACACTGTCCCACATGCTATCCTGCTCTCTAAATTGGAGAGACATGTATTTGACAGATGGGCCACATGGTGGATAAAGAACTGGCTGGATGGTTGCATACAAGGAGTTGTGGTCAACAGCTCAATGACCAAGCGGAGACCAGTTATGAGTATTGTTCCTCAGGGGTCGGTACTGGGACCTGTACTGTTCAACATCTTTGTCAGCGACATGGACAGTGGGGTCAACTGCACCCTCAGCAAGTTTGCCGATGACACCAAGCTGCTTGGTGAGGGAGACACGCTGGAGGGGGGGGATGCCATCCAGAGGGACCTGGAGAGGTGGGTCCATGCCAACCTCATGTAGTTCAACAAGGCCAAGTGCAAGGTCCTGCATCTGGGTCGGGGCAGTCCCGAGCACAACTCCAGGCTGGATGGAGAGCAGCCCTGAGGAGAAGCACTGGGGTCTGCTGATTGACCAGAAGCTCAACATGAGCCTGCAATGTGTGATCACAGCCCAGAAGGCCAACCGTATCCTGGGCTGCATCAGCAGAAGTGTGACCAGCAGGGCGAGGGAGGGGATTCAGGACCTCTGCTCTGCTCTGCTCTGGTGAGACCCCACCTGGAGTTCTGCCTCCAGCTCTGGAGTCCCCAACATAGGAAAGGCATGGACCTGTTAGAGCGAGTCTAGAGGAGGCCATAAAGATGCTGTGAGGGCTGGAGCACCTCTGCTGGGAGAACAGGCTGGGAGAGTTGG